TTTTTTTTTTTTTTTTAACATGAATCAAAGCATTAAATTTATAATAAAAAGAATAGTTTAGAAAAGGGTGTATCACACTGAAAATATTACTTTTGTTGAGTGATACATAATTTGAATGGCCCGTATAGTGTTACATCACTGAGAAAATCTTCACGTGTGTTTTCAAAAATGTGTTTATAGACAAACCTGTATCTGTCTAGAGACACATCTGTCTAGAGACACATGCTGTTTACATACAGTTTATGTTTTCCTTCAAAAATTTTTTCGAAGTGTATCTTAGTGTACTCTTCTGATTGAATTACTTTTTACCAATCTTTCCCAAAAACAACAACAAAAGAATGAGCTCTTGGTCCTACAGTCCTATTTTCTATCCTGCTTACTGACTACAGCAGGTCATCCATAGCAATGGGAGATGCTTGGCTGAGATCAGAACCTCTGCAGATACTATATAAAGCAACAACTGTTCTCTTGCTCAAATCTTTACCATAATGTTCTTTATTGGATATAACCTCTCTCAGTACATTTCCAGAATTTAAGATAAAATCAAAATGTAATTTACAGTTGAATACACATTAATTCTGATATATTTTTTTTAATCATGTGATTTAAAAACCATTGCATTTATTTAATCTTCCCACTCTTAACTAAGGTCCTCATTTATGAGGGCAATATGCACTTGCTAGCCACCTTAGCTATTGCTCAAGTAAACATAAATCCACCTCCTCAGCAGTGCTAGATCCTTTACAAATAAGGATACATGAAGAATTTGTGGCGTGGCAGCACATGCTTTGTTTTCCTGCCAGTATGTGAAGGATGTTCCTCCTGCCCCATTGATCTTGTTAGCAAATCCCAGCTCAGTGCTGGTCAGCTGCAGGGCAATGTTAGGGTCTTCAGGCAGCACAGATGAAAATACAGATGAACAAACACAAAGTCCAGTCAATCTCATCTAGGGACTGCCTCTTGGATCGTACAGTCTTGCTGCAGATTGTGGTGCTGCCTATTCCTCTGTTCTGACTTGTATCCCCAGTCTCACTGTTTATTATGCAGATCTGCAAAAATCTTTAAAACCAGTCTGCTTCCTTCAACGCACAGACAATTTTTTTCCTTCTATATTAAGACAATTCATGAGAAGAAATAAGTGGTAACTAAAGTGCTCGACTACAAGGCTGTCTCTGAAGGTGATTTCTCCTATTTGCTGTATTTTTAAAGCAAATTTCTGCCACATTACAAAACTCAACTGTGCTTGCTAACAATTTAGTTAATGAATGTTCTGCATGCCCAAAGATTTTTTTTACAAACACCACAGTGTTCTCTCCACAACCTCACTGTTCATGAAATGGATACAAATGCAAGCTGTAGTCCATAGGCAAATCTGATTTGGGTAATTGAGTGCAGTGGGTCTCTAGAAAATGGTTTTCACATCAGATGCAGCAGTGCTGATACATGAAACCTTCATTTTGTATATTTGCATTACAGATTTCTATTGTCAGAACACTTAACTGAACAAAAAAACCTGTTTCTGTCGAAGGCTAGGAACACAAAAGCAGCCAGGAAAGACATTTTTTTGTTTTCTTCCCACACAGATTTTTGAAACAATGCAGTTTTTACATTGGAAAATCATCCAATAA